AGGAGAGCTGTGTGAGAGGAGGAGCAGGAGGAGGGAGCAGGGGACAGACAGAGAGGCCCATCAGGAGGTGTGGAGTCAGGAGAGGAGAGGAGAGCCTTCGTGTTGACCCAGTGAGAGCGCTGTCTCCTGTCTTTGCCTGCAGGTTGGAGGACTGCAGACTCACGGAGAGATGCTGTGGGCCCCTGGCCTCCGCGCTCCAGGCTCCGCGCTCCAGGCTGACAGAGCTGGATCTGAGTTACAATAAACTGGGCGACTCAGGGGTGAAGCTCTTGTCCGCAGCCCTGCAGGGTCCCAGGTGTAACTTAACGATCCTGAGGCAAGTGAGCGCTCGGCCAGTCCCAGAAGCGTTTCCTGTTTGGAACACCATCAGCAGAGAGGTTTCACCGGGCACAGGAGACTAGAGAACTATACGTCCTCCAGCCGTTTCTGAAAAGAGGCCACATCCACTCAGATCCACTTCCTTTCCTGTTTTCTGTCCTACATTGTTTTCAGTTCTGACCCCATGCCCCCTTTCCATGACAGATTGGGAATTGGTCCTTGTTCAATTAGCCCACCACACCAATACAGGATCCTAATCGCAGCACCTCTCGGTGCCCTTCGTGACTGTGTGTACAGAAACGATTCGGCTCAGCTGAGCTCTCCAGCTGAACGGGTGAAGGGTTAATCCATGCTGACAGGAGGAGAAAAGAGACCCAGCGTTTCCGCTGGAGAGCCTGAGTTTTCAAGAGGCAGTAGAAGAAGGGACTGGCCTGAGCAGAGAGGACACACCCCCCAGTCTCCACCCAGCCAGGAGACCTTAACGCAGCTTGGTGAGACTCGAGTCCAGGCCACAGTCCCCGACTCCTCTGCCAGTGTCCAGACAGTCACAGAGCAGAGCAGTGCCTGCAGGGGCGCCAGTCAATGTCCTGATTGAACCGCCCTGCCAGGATCTCCCAGCACTCTTCTCTGCTCCTGTCTGGAGACGGAGAACCTAGCTGCACGTTTTAAGGGAACTCAAATGACCTGTTATCTCCAGAAACCCACTGAGCTGGGTAATAACACGAGGGCGTATGTTATCGCTGAGATGGATTCTGGTCTTTTGTCTGCAGCCTGTCAGACTGTGGGCTTTCAGCAAGAGCTTGTGAAGATCTGGCCTCTGCCATCGCATCGCCAGACTTCTGCCTGCGAGTGCTGGACCTGAGCTCCAACAGGCTGGGGGACTCGGGGGCCAAGCTGCTGTTCGCAGTCCTGAGGAACCCCGACTGTAAATTAAGGTCTCTTGGGTAGGTGAAGACTGACCCTGCGCTCTGACCCCCAGCTTCTCTCTCCCCGTCTGTGTGCCTGTGCGTCTCGTGGAGAGCAAGCTGGGGGACGCGAAAAGGGAGATTCCTCCTGCAAGAAACTGTGTCCGGTCAACAAAGTGATCTTCTCTTCGGTAAATAAGGGCTGCTGGTCCACAGGTCAGGACGCACATGAGCTGTGCAGCGTTTTGAGCTGTCTCTCTTCCTCTGTGCCGACAGGCTGTCAGACTGTGGGCTCACAGACAGGTGCTGCAGAGACCTGGCCTGGACTCTTCACTCAGAACACTACAGTCTCCGAGTGCTGAACCTGGGGGAGAATAACCTGGGGGACACCGCGGTGAAGCTGCTGTCCGCAGCTCTGCGGGACCCCAATTCGAAATTAACATCATTGAGATACTGTAAGTGAACACTGGGCGATTTACTGTACGTGGGAATTTTAAAGAACAGATGTCAATATAACAATGACCAGTCACACCTTC